CAAAAGCATAATCCTTCCTATCAGAGCAGTTGGTATATGCCATAATGTTAACGGTAAAAGGGGTTATCTATACACGGTCACTAATGAACAGTTAACAATTTTGAAAGGGCGAGTGAATGGCATGAAAGGAAATATTTCAAAAAATGCCCTCAATATTTGTCTGATCTCAAAAAAATACTGCTTACGTTGTGTGTATGGAGGGAAAGAAAAAGAACCATTAACTGTGTGAACAGATAATCAAATAAAAGGCTGTGTTATACGAACCACCTATACGACGTGTTGCTGTCGTTATATACTTGCGAAACTGCATCTTATAACCCAACTTATTTATTTATCAACCGAACAGCATTTATACAACTGTTCAACAAAACCATAGTGACTGTACTTAACCTTAAATATTGTGCGATTACTATTGATTTAACTGGTTTACTCATTTATCTTATGGCAGTTAATTAACAAAAGTAATACATCTTTTAAACCATAATTATTTAATATTACAAAACAAAAATATTTGCTACACGTTTCGACCACGTGTTCTGGTAATCATCAACATTAACACTTACAACGTTCGTGTTAAAAGATCTCTGCTGATCCCCCACTACCAACACCTTTATTACTCGTTTGTAACAAAGAATAGGAATTGTAATTCTATCTTTTTTCCTTAACATAATAAATACTAAAAGTGCAATAAAAATACATAACGATACAAATACTGAAATGAAAGACCTATTGTTTTCAAGAATTCTATCAACATGAAATTAGATTTGGGGGGAGGGGGGTGACTCCCCACGTCATCCTCTATCACGGTGTCAAGTTGGGTGCTGATTGATCAAGAAGTGTGGAAACGTATAAACAACAGATGGCTGAAAGGTGCGAACAAACAGACAAACTTGGTTTTATATATTAGTTTGTTTTTGAATTTCGCACAAAGCTACACGAGGGCTATCTGCGCTAGCCGTCCCTAATTTAACAGTGTAAGACTAGAGGGAAGGCAGCTAGTTATCACCACCCACCGCCAACTCTTTTACCAACGAATAGTGGGATTGACCGTCACATTATAACGCACCCACGGCTGAAAGGGCGAGCATGTTTGGTGGGACGGGGATTCGAACCCGCGACCCGCAGATTGCGAGTCGAGTGTCCTAACCACCTGGCCATGTCGGGCCTTTATATATTAGATGGACCACCAATGTAATGTGTGGAAAACAAAAAAAGTCTTAAGATGACCCTTATTAAGTTCGTAGCTGGAAATGAATAGGAATGTTTTTTTTTTTTGAAAAGTACAATGTCTATCCTTTCCACACACTCGGCATAACGAATAAAATAGGCACTTATTTCAAAGCTTGCCTTATAAAAAAACATTATGAACAGTATTCGGATTATATACACAACATAAATTGTTTCTAGGTTTCTATACCGTCTACATATCACAGAACACTGAAAGAAAAAGATTACTGCCGTTTACGACATATTAAGATCAAACTGTCCAGAGATATATAATGTATTTTGTCTTCTGATACAGCTCCACTCCGTAATTGTTCGAATCCCAAACGATTTATGACGGGATTATAAAACTGTTACACACTAGGCTATTCATCTTCTTACGATGAGTATTGGCTTTGTTCCAATTGAAACGCTCCGAAATAAAAGATCGAACTGCCACAATGAAAAATGATCCTTCCTAAAGAATGGGAGATCGCTATACATTATCTATAGCAAACATGTTCGTTCTCATCTTTTTCAGTCCATCTGTTTTTCACAATGCTTTGGGTGACAGGAAAATGTTGCAAGTTTTATGAGGCATTTCAATCTTCAATACATAGTCACAATATACAGCATTTCAATCAACTAAAGATATGACACAACATAAAAAAAAGGAGAAAACCTTAACCTAATTCATTTTTACACTGACATAACATAAATTACAGGAAATCCTCCTAAACCCAAATAACGGAAATGGGTATTTGTAATAACACAAGTCCAACTTCTCTCAAATTACCAATAAAACAAACTTAAGAGGAATAAAATAGAAGTAGCTGATTTTTTTTTATTCCGAAAACGTAACTATACCACATTAAAAACCTAAAATATTAGTTAATTAAATGAATCAAAACTATCCAATACGTAACTAAGATCTTCTGGCATCCATCTTGTTATAACGGACTATTTTCTTTAAAGATACATTTTAATAAATTCCCACAAGATATTAAAATTAGGCACTGGTGTGTCTGTGACAACGTAACCTCAGTTGTTCATTGCTTTCGAACAATAAACTAATACACTGTTTGTAACTTAGAACTTCAGAAGAAGGGCCCTGTTACAAAAGTACTTCACGTTGCCTGATGTTAAACCTACAAGCATATTTACATGAATGGGGGAGTTAACACAAATAACTTGACAAGCTTTACAACTGTAAATATTTACATGAATGGGGGAGTTAACACAAATAACTTGACAAGCTTCACAATAGTAAATATTTGCATGAATGGGGGAGTTAACACAAATAACTTGACAAGCTTCACAATAGTAAATATTTGCATGAATGGGGGAGTTAACACAAATAACTTGACAAGCTTCACGACAGTAAATATTTGGATGAATGGGGGGGGGGTTAACACAAATAACTTGACAAGCTTCTTAACAGTAAATCTCCTGAAACTGAGTGACACTTGCAGTAAATAATGGACCTAAATCTTACTTCTGTGGTTCGTTCGGGTCTTTCTTTTTCTTCTTCTTTGGAACTTTGGGTTTTTTGTTTGATTTGGTGTTAGTAACAGGTTCTACAGGTTCAGGTGAAGGCCTCTTTACTCCACCCATTAGCTACAAAAAGGACGAAGAAACAAAGCAATCGCTATAAATACTTGAACTCACTATTAATAGGCAAGACTCGAGCTTACCATAACTGTTTTTATAATAAACGAAATTATCATATATATATATAGTAAAACTAACTGTGAATGTTATATTTCATATTTCATTTATCAACACTGAATGTTTTAATTATTCAACTGATCTCCCTTTGGCATTTTATACAAAGTTACAACAACATATTCCATTAAATAATAGCACATCAACTACGAATGTGACCAAACCAATAATTACGTGTTCAATGAAGTACTTTTATATAATAAAAAATATTGTAGGTGAAACAGTTGAAAATTTCGCAACTAAAGAACATTCTCAGTTCTATTAAATGTGACAAGTGTTCACTGTTAAAAACAAAAGAGGGTTAGAATTAGTTCGGGAAGAATTGTGCGGAAATCTAATACTTGCCTCCAATTTTCGATGATAAAGTTGCATCTTATTTCAAACCTAAATCTCTTCCTTACGTCGAATTATGTATATATATATAAAAATATAAAAAAGCAATTTCTCCCTCTCTTTTTTTTTTCTCTGCACGAGGTGTCACTGGCAGTTATTAGATAAGTTTGTGGCGAACCAACGTTCCAAAATTAAAAACTATATAAAAGTTTGGAGATCAAATCCTATCCTTTTTTTCCTCTCTCTAAATAGACTAGCAATAATGGCTTCTTGAATAAAAAAAAAAAAAAAAAAAAAAAAAAAAAAA